TGGACAGAAGCTGGGTGCGGTGGCTCATGCCTGTAATCCCAGCACTTTGGGAGGCTGAGGCAGGTGGATCACAAGGTCAAGAGATCGAGACCATCCTGGTCAACATGGTGAAACACCGTCTCTGCTAAAAATACAGAAAATTAGCTGGGCATGGTGGTGCATGCCTGTAATCCCAGCTACTCAGGAGGTTGAGGCATGGAGAATTGACTGAACCCAGGAGGCGGAGGTTGCGGTGAGCCAAGATCGCGCCATTGCACTCCAGCTTGGGTAACAAGAGTGAAACTCCATCTCAAAAAAACAAATGGACAGAAACACAACTGAATAAAATGGTAGATATATACAGTGCTGGTGTGTATAGAACTAATTTGACCAGAAATTTAAAAGCACTAATATCTTGTTGCTGTATGTTTAGAGAAACACTTGTTGGGATATGCTATGAGTGTAGCTAAAGGAAATAGCCTCTTTATGTACAATGTGAATGAAGTTTATTTAGAGTAACTCTTTGGGACAGCAATTTAGCAATATTGACCAAGATTTAAAATTGCTCAAACCTCAGTAATTCAATTTCCTCAAGAAATAATAGTAAAAATAGAAAAGGTTTTATGCACGAGCACGCCTTTGATAAAACAAACAAACATACAGTTGTAAAAATACCGTAATTACAACTATGTAAGAAACAAACAAATAGAAACAGAAAAAAAAATCAAAAGGAGATAGATCATAATACAGTGGCTATATGGGACAATTAGATTGTATGGTGGCTCACGCCTGTAATCCAAGCACTTTGGAGGCCAAGGCGGGCGGATCACCTGAGGTCGGGAGTTCAAGACCAGCCTGACCAACATGGTGAAACCCTGTCTTTATAAAAAATAATAATAATAAATTTTTTAAAAAAGATTGTATTTTCATCCATCCTCTATTCTGTATTTTCAAATGATCTTTGATGAAAGTGTGTTCTTTGTATAATAAAACACCAGCATTTTATTCCTGTAGCACCAAGAGTGACAGAGTGAATTACAGTTGTGTAGTCAAACACAGAATGGGAAAAGATGTCACATTTATACATTTTAAAGAGCATTACTGTAAAAATCAATTACACCTGACATACAAACTCCCCTCCCTTGGGTACCCCTGCTAAATGTTCATCCGCACACAGTATCCTGTAGACTTTCCCAGCCCCTTCCCCATCTGCAATTCATCTGGTGCCACCAAATCCTGAGCACAGACCAGAACATAGCTGACCTTCCCATTTGCTTCCCATCTCATCTCTCGTGCGCCTTCTTGACATATTTCCATTCTCTCTTCCTGGCGGTAGGCCTTGGGTGGGTGACTTAATTTTTGTAAGCAGACCTTCCTGCTTGCTCAGGAAGCAGCCCCCTGAGGGCTCTGTCAGACTCCTGCCTGCAAAGCAGGCACTGCTGGTTCGTAAGGAATGCCTGGGGAAGCAACCCCAAGGCAGATGCTTTGGGTTAAGACATGGAGAGCTGTAGATGGGTTCAAATGGCCCTTGCACTGCTGAAGAATTTTTGTTTTCCTAAAATGGTTTTAGTCTGGATTATGTCTCAAAACGACTGTTTGTTCCCGGGAGGTAAGTTTCAGTGATTCCCAGCAGTCAGGGGGCAAAACCGGATGATGATGTGCTGACAGAAAGAGTAGGGAACACAGCTTCCCCTCTTGATGGTGGGGGCACAGGCGAGGACACGGTGCCTACGGCCTCTGGACTGCCCTGTGGAAGGCCCAAGCCTTCCAATACAGTATAATAATGGTCTCAGCAGAGCCATGGGGCCAAAACACCGGACTGTGGGGAGGAAGGAGATTTATCTGAAGGAAGCAAATAGTCCATTGCCAGTCACCCTACGGCATGCTGTGCAGCAGCTCCTCACCCGCTTCTGGTAACTGTAGGCAGATTTCCTTCTCCGAAATGCCTCCTCCCCACTGTCAATCATTTTATTAGGAGTAGAGCTCCGGCCCCACCCAGGATGCAGCACATAACCAAGGCCCGAGCCAACCAGCTGACGTGGCATGGCCCTGGCCTCAGTGATGAGTCCAGGGATGGACTGAGAATAATGATGCCGGCTGACGCTGAGTGCTTCCTCTATCTTGGCTTCCTGGTTAAGATTTTATATATGTTGACTCAATTAACCCTCACAGTGGCCAGATGAGGTGATACCATAATTATTTTCCCTGTTGTCAGATGAGGAAACTGAGGCATAGAGGCAGTAAGTAGCATGCCCAAGTGACACAGCTAATAAGTGTCAAAACCAGGATGGATACCAAGGTAATCTGACGCCAGAGTTCATTCTCTTAACACTATGCCATAGAGCCTTCTAGGTCAGCCGTGGCATAGGTGTGTGGCACAGGTGTGCCGTGGTGGGCTTTTTTTCTTAAGCTGAAGGGGATGCACTGGAGCGGGCGCCACCATCTTGCCCCTACGTGGAGTCCGAGAATGCAGGTCTGAGGGTGGGGAGAGCAGAGCCTGGTGGCGGGTGAGCTCTAGACTTGCTCTGGTCTGAAGCCGGTTCATAACTTGGCTAAAAAATTCTCACGTTCACACCTCCTGGACCCGTTTGTTTCTCATTCCAAGTTGAGTTGGTTTTGGTTACTCTCCTTCCCACATCGCATTTTGTCTTCTCTTCCTAGTAACTCCTATTGATTGGATATTAAATGCCCATGATAGATCCTCTTATTTTCTCATCCATTCTCTCTTATCACTCATCTATTTGTCTTATTGTTCTGCTTTCTGAGAGATTTCCCTGAGCTTATGTTTTAACCCTTTTAAGAAAAAGCATGGGGGAGGGGTATTATCATTTTTATTTCTAGATTCTTTTTTCCAGTTGTTCGTTTTTTTATTGGCATCTGAATGTTGTTTCATGGATGTGATGAAGTCTCACTTCTCTGAGGATACTAACTGTAACTTTTTTTTTTTTTTTTTTTTGAGACGGAGTTTCGCTCTTGTTACCCAGGCTGGAGTGCAATGGCGCGATCTCGGCTCACCGCAACCTCCGCCTCCTGGGTTCTGGCAATTCTCCTGCCTCAACCTCCTGAGTAGCTGGGATTACAGGCATGCGCCACCATGCCCAGCTAATTTTTTGTATTTTTAGTAGAGACGGGGTTTCACAGATCTCTTGACCTCGTGATCCACCCGCCTCGGCCTCCCAAATGGGATTACAGGCGTGAGCCACCACGCCCGGCCCTGATTGCAATTTTTAAAAGTTATCTTCTAGTCTCTACATTATCTCAGTTTCCTTGATGTTTCCTTTCTGTTTGTTTTGGTTTCTGTTTTGCGTTAAAGTTTACATTCAGCTGTCTTATGATCCTAAAGAATCCATTCAGATTTAAGTGTGAGACACTGAAAAGCTGATTTGATGCTATCTGAGCATGGAAGGGCTCGGTTTGGTGGCTTCTCTGCTGGGAGAGGAAGAGGCCAGGCAGATTTTTCATAGAAACTCCTAAATGTGCCGACTTGAAGGTCCTTTCCCTGGGAGCGATTCGGTTTCCCCAGAAAAATAACCTTTAAGCTCATTCTCAGAGCATGGGAGCCTGGCTGCTGACCTTTGGAGCTGTGGTCTCTCATCCCCCAAGTAGGAGACGGTGGCTCAATTTCTGGACAGTATTCTGCAGAGACGGTCACCTGTCAGACCAGGTGAGTCACAAACTCCTTTGGTCTGGCTCCTATGTCAATACTTTTGTGTTGTTCATTGAACTTGAAGTGACCCTTACTTTCTCCTTGAGAGCAGTCACTCATTAATTCATCCATTCATTCACTCAGCATTTATATGGACGAATATAAGCAGCTGAGAAGACCCTTTGATCCTTGCCCCTAAAGAGTCAACAATTTCTTCGCAGCCCCTCCAGCCCCTGGTTTTCAGTGAGGAAGGAGCCCAGTCTCTTCAGCCAGATTGGGAAACAGATGATTGTTTATTTAGCAACTACTGTGTGCCAGGCACTGCACTAGGTGCTTTATCTACTTTCTCTCATTTTGCTACTCCTGCTAACCCTCTGCAGGTAACCTTTATTAAAGTTGTATCTTAGATGAGAAACTGAAGTCCAGAAACTTCAGTGCTAAGAAACGGGCCTAGGATTTCAACTCGGCCCTGCCTGAGTCCAAAGCTTATACTCTTTCCTCTGCTGGATATATTTACCCCCATTTTAGAGATAAGGAAACTGGGGTGCAGAGATGTTCCTTAAACACTCCGAAGAACTCTTGAGGCAGGCTGTGAGAAGCCAAGGCCTCACGTGTGGGAGTTACAGAGCATGTGCAGGGAAGGGTCCATCACGCTGTGTCCCTAATGTCCCAGGAACCTCTCCCATCAGGAGAATTTTCTATAAGGAAAGGCAGGCAAGCAGGACCACAATGGCCAGCATGGAATAGTTACTAACAGCAGCCATCCATGGAGAAGGAATGTGTTCCAGCTTTGTCTGTTTGATGGGATGATTCCACTGTCTGAGGATCTGCTGCTCCCCATCTCCCAGCTGCCAATGACTGTGAGCCCATTCACTAGATCCATCCAGAGGGGCAGTTCTAGATGAAGAGTCAGTGCAAGGTCCAAGGGTCTCAGAGGGTGGGGAAGGACACAATGATAATTTCCTTTTCAAAAGGCTGAACAAAATATGTCTTCTCAAAATGCCAGGGGAGACGGTTTTTTGCTTGGGCCTGGTATGTTTTCAATAATGCTATCAAATTACGTTTTTTGGCAAAGTAAAAATAGTCACCAGACCAGGGGAAAATAACTATGCATTCTCCTAGAGAATGGTGTCATAATCTAAATTTGGCCAGAGAATGAAGATCCAGAAGTGATTTCATTCAGAAGAAAAAGTGCCTAAAAGGGGAAAGTAACTTTGAATTCTGAAAATTTACCCCAGCAAAAGGAGCAGGGTATAGCCAAGGATAGTCATCGGACCTATGATAAGAGCAGGCACATGTGAATATTTCTATTAGACACACCCTTCATGTGGCAGAAGCAGCTGATGTGAACAAAATCAACTGCTCGAGGTTTTGTTTCATCAGTTTTATTGGTGATATATCCGGAATTTCTCATATAAATCTTTCAAAATAATGAGATATTACAAGAATAGTTTACAAGTCAGCTCTGACTGCACAAATACTTGACACAGGAAACCATTTTTACAAATACATATGTTTTATAATACTTTAATAAAGAAAATAAGTCTGTCTATATCTTATGGCAAATTTTATGTAGTCTTTTCCCCATTCAATCATGGCTTCAGGTTTTCTATTAAAATATGTCTGTCACATCCAATAAACCAAACTACCATCTGCTGTTTCTTCTCATTTTCAAATACTATTAAGATTCACACTGTTAACTGGGTTTTTGGGTTCCTTTTGTAATCTTTCCTGATTTGAAAAGAATCCATGTATCTAGGCTAAAAGAGGTAACTTCAACAATATTCCTCCTGACTAGAACTTCTATCTGGTTAATAATTGTTTGGTGAATTATCTTTTCACTTCCTACTTAGGCTAGGTTAGGTGGCAGTTTTACCCCTGCTGATAAAGTCCTGACATTTCTAATAGTTCCTAAACTGCAAATAAGAAACCCTAGAAACAAGAGTGAAATAGAAATATTAAGAAAGCTAACACTAATTGATTAGAGAAGACACTTAAATTCAAGGTCTCTTCCAGGTTGAAAAAGACAGAACAGCAATAAAGTATAAGGATGAGGCCATAGTTTTATAAATCCTAAAAATCTGAAAAAGAGTAATCACTTAAGCCAGTAGTGTATTATTTCGAAATGCCAGAGGATACAGAATCTTAGCATCTGCGACTAGGCTGAACTCAGTATTTGACATTCTTCTTATGCTGCGGCTTTGAAATAGCCTAATAAATATCCACTTGCCCAGAGCAAGTAATCATTTAGGCCAGAGAACTTTACAGAATACTGACCGTGTTTACCTGAAGAAATAGGAACCACTAGGGCAAACATTTGGCATTCACTCCACTCCTTCACTGTAACTGAAATGTCCACTTAGCAAAGCCTGTTGTTTTGCTTTTCAGGTAACGTGAATTAAAATTAAGCAACTAGCAGTATTCTACTATAGTCAAGTTCCTGAGTACTCAGCTCCAATTATCCAATATTCTTGAAAGGATGCTGACATGGTTTGGCTGTGTTCTCCACCCAAATCTCAACTTGAATTTGTATCTCCCAGAATTCCCATGTGTTGTGGAAGGGACTCGGGGAGAAGTAATTGAACCATGGAGGCTGGTCTTTCCCATTGCTATTCTCATAACAGTGAATAAGTCTATGAGATCTGATGGGTTTATCAGGGGTTTCTGCTTTTGCTTCTTCCTCATTTTTTCTTGCCACCATGTAAGAAGTGCCTTTCACTTCCTGCCATGATTCTGAGGCCTCCCTGGCCATGTGGAACTGTTAAGTCCAATTAAACCTGGTTTTTTTCCCCAGTTTTGGGTATGCCTTTATCAGCAGCATGAAAACACTAAGACAGATGCTTTAAGCAAGCCCTTGTCCAATAAGGTATTTAATAGCACTTAGGGACTATCAGATGTCCCATTTCTCTTCTCTTTCATTTCTCTTGATCTCTTCTTGCCCCAGTGTAAAAAATTGCTACAGGTTTTTACCAAAATGCTGCAGCGGTAGTTGGAAATGGGTTATTTTGCATTACTAAAGTGTTCAATCACATTATCACAGGTCACATTTGCATATAACCAGGAGATGGCCAAATAACATCTATTGCAGTGATTTTGCAAATTCAGCATAGTCAATGTATCCATCATTGTTCTTGTCATCATCTCTCAAAACACCATCTATTATGTTAATCAGTTCATCTTCACTCATTAGTGGTGCCTGTTCACTCCCTTCCTACAAAATACAAATTAGACAATGATGAGTTGCACATTTTAGTGGAAGAAGTGCTTAGCTAATGTGCAAAATATCCATGCTCTTTCATGGCCAATGTTTATTAAAAACAAAACAAAACAAAAACAACAAAATGTCCATGCTCATATGTGTCTAAAAACTTTCAATGGAGTATCGGGCTACTTCTAGGAATCTATCTATATATTTTCTCTCTATATATACAGAATATATATTCTATCTCTATACTGTAGTCTACATATATTCTCTCTATATATATTCTACTCTCTGTATATATTCTATAGAGAGAGAGAATATAGAGAGAATATATATTAGATATTGAGTCAATTTATAATAATCCAATTTAGAAATTACATTTGCCAGTTAAAAGAAAGCCCTTCAAAATAGGCTCTTGCTTATTTGTTTCATTACAGCTCATTCTTTTCTAATTGGAAAAGTGCCAGTCCTCCTGAGGGTCAGCTCTGCGTACAAATTTGCCTGATAAAATGGAAACAGTGACGAACAAGAGGAAGAAGGCACTGCCAATCAGCAGAACTGGTTATGATCTTTGATAAGAAAGTATTTTCCATGCTCCAGGAGCCAGGCAATAAGCTGAGGCCACTCAGATCCTTGGCTGGTTCTTCCTTTGCCACATCTCCCACATTCACCCTTCCTTTTCCTATCACCACCACCATCCTCATCTGCCAGGACTGCTGAGCCCCAATTCCTCCACCTAATACTTGTCTCTCCTCATGTCCTTCAGTCTGTCTCCCACAGCCAAGGATCTTCCCTACACAATGTCATTCTCCTGTGTAAAACCGTTTACGCTCCCTGCTGCCTTCAAACCTCACCTGCACTCCTAGCAGCCAATGTAATCCCACTCACCTGGCTAACTTTGCCTTGCTTCCTCTCTACAGAGGGCAGTGTGGCAGAGGGGGAATGATATTAAATGTGGAGGCACATTTTTTTTTTTTTTTTGGAGATAGGGTCTGACTCTGTCACCCAGGCTGGAGTCCAATAGCATGATGACAGCTCGCTGCATCCTCAACCTCCCGGGCTCAGGTGTTCCACCCCCCTAACCCCCCATCCCCCGCCACACCAGTAGCTGGGACTACAGGTGAGCACCACCATGCCCAGCTAACTTTTGTAGAGAGTGGATTTTGCCATGCTGCCTAGGTTGGTCTTGAACTCCTTGGGCTCCAGTAATCCTCCTGCCTCAACCTCTCAAAGTTCTGGGATTACAGGCATGAGCCATCGTGCCCAGCCTGGCACAAGATCTTGATTTCAGTTTCTTCGCCTAAAAAATGGGAGGGTTTTTTGTTTGTTTGTTTTCTGAGACAGGGTCCTGCTCTGTCGCCTAGGCTGGAGCTCAGTGGCAAGATAACAGCTCGCCACAACCTCGACCTCTCAGGCTCAAGTGATGCTCCTACTTCAGCCCCATGAGTAGCTAGCTGGGGCTATAGGCACATGCCACTGAAAATCAAAGTATTAACAATGCCTGTCACTGACTACTCAAGATGTTGCAAAGATCCAATGAGATCCCTAACCTACTTGAAAGTGCTTCAGAAACTTTGGAGCACTGTACAGTAAAACGAAAGCCCTCAACTATTGCCATGTCCCTGAATCCCTTGGTGGTCTCAATTCACCATTCTTCCCAAATGAAATAACTTCTCCCTTGCTCTGAAGTTTGAATGTGGTCTTTTAGGCACTGGCTCTCATACTCTGGTGTGTAACAGAAATGCCTGTAGCACTTAAAGATACAAATGCCGAGCCCTGGGACTTTAGCAAGTTATCCTTTGTGGAGAGGATCGTTGAACAGAAAGAGGCAAGAGGCAGAAAAGAGAAGAGAAAGAAGAAGTAGCACCTTTTTTTTTTTTCTTTTTTGAGACAAGTCCTCACTCTGCTCCTCAGGCTGAAGTGTAGTGGCATGATTATGGCTTACTGTAGCCTCAATATGCTGGACTCAAGCAATCCTTCCACCTTAGCCTCCTGAGTACCTGGAACTACAGGCATGCACTACTAGGCCTGGCTAATTTTTTAGTTTTTGTTTTGTTTTGTAGAGACAGGGTCTCACTATATTGCCAAGGCTGGTCTTGAACTCCTAAATCAAGTGATCTTCCCACTTTGGCCTCCCAAAGTGCTGGGATTACAGATGTGAGCCACTATGCCCATGAAGAAACAGCACTCTTGGCATATAAGGACAACATAAGTCAACAAGACTGGGAACCGAATTACCAAAGGGAGGCCTTTCTGTGATACAGCCCCTCAAGCCACCACCAGACCTACCTCCTTATGGACATGAGTGATGGCTGTGGAGAGTTCTAAGCCATCAAGCAAATTATTGCCATCATAATCATGCATTTTGAAGTAATGGAGCTGCAGTTCTTGTGGCGACATCTCTGCCTCTGGTTTGTTGATGACACCTTCTAGATGTTCCATGATATGTCTAAAAATCAACAATCAGATTCAGGCCAATTGGCAGAGACACTGGGATCATGCTAAAATCTTAAGGACTCTGAAAAGTTCAAAATCTTAAACTTTCTCCAGCTCAGAAAAACAAATACAAGCAGTGGCAGACCACACTCAAAGATTACACAGAGACAGACAGGGCCTTGAGGGGAGCAGGAAAAGTCAAACAGGTCACCTGTTTTGCTGGCAGGATTAGGGTGTTCTTTTCTCTTTATTATTAGAATTTTGTTATAATATTTTCAGGTCACCAATTTAAAAATAGGTTTTTTAAAAGTTTTTTTTTTTTTTTTTTTTTTTTGAGACAGGGTTTTACTCTGCCACCCAGGCTGGAGTGTAGTAGTGTGATCTCAGCTCACTGTAGCCTCAACTTTCCAAGCTCAGGTGATTCTCCCACTTCAGCCTCCTAAGTAGCTGGGACCACAGGCACGAACCACCACACCCAGCTAATTTTTTGTATTTTTAGTAGAGACAGGCTTTTACTTCATTGCCTAGGCTGGTCTCCAATTCCTGGGCTCAAGCAATCCACCTGACTCGGCCTCCCCAAGTGCTGGGATTACAGGTGTGAGCCACTGAGCCCAGCCTTGTAAACAAAGGATAACAAAGTGTAATGTGTGAGGCTAACTGGCCCAAGACAAAAGCTGCAACAAATGATTCAATGTTTGAATGTGTTGAAAAAAAAAAAAAAAAGTCCTGTTAGAGTCAAGAAACCTTAGCTATTTTCTGGATTCTGCTACGACTGTGTATGTGTACCTGTGTGACTATTTGTATGTGTGTGTGCCTCCCTGTGGGGAAAAAAAGAAGAGACTGGATTTAGACAAGTAATCTGTCCCATTTGGGCCTAAAGATCTTCTACCTGTGATACAATGATGAAAAAAGAATACCTGACTTATAGGTGGCAATAAGGAATAAGAATCATCCTTGAAGAATGTCAAGGAGCCATATAATCAGGAAGAAGGAAAGGAGGACTGAGTGTGCCCTTGCTGCTGGCTCAGCTGCAGATGATGGGGAAGCCCCTGGACCACAGCCCGGGCTGAATACGTACTCTTGGTCGTGCACTGTGTTCTTATCCAGGCCCATGCTGCCGGGATGGGAGAAGCTGGCCGCAGGCTCCTCAGCCCTGGCACCTGGGGCACAAAAGGCCCAGAGCAGGCTACACAGGAAGGGGGTTCTGAGCAGGGATCTCATGGTCACCAATATCTGTGAGATGGGAAACACAGAAGAGGAAGGCAGAGCATCAGAGCAAAGGTTTCGTTCAGGGCTTGACATGGTACGATCCTGGGAAACCTGATGAAGCAGTGAGGCTAGGAAGACAGCTTGTCAAACGGGGCCCAACACCAGCTCTGCTATGAGATTTCGGGATGACCCTGGGCATTCCAGGTCAATCAAATGGCAGGGGAAGGTTCATGAGGTTTCCTGAAGTGCCTGTAGAGTGCCAAGCAATACTGTGAAAGCTTGAAGAGTCTGGAACATTATTCCTGCCTCCCAGAAGCTATGGTCCACTGAAGGAAATACTTTCTATCAAGAGCACCAAGAAAGGCAGCCAGTGAGTTATACCAGGATATCAGAGAAAAAGAAAACCCTCTAGGAGTTCAGGGGAAGACATCTCCTCCGGGTGAAGGAAAATCAGACAGAGCAGATTGAGCTGATGACACTCCAGCTGGGCCTGGACAGCCGTGCAGGGACTGAAAGACTACAGGAATGGTGGGAGCACAGCGGCAGGTGCCCACAAGCAGGAAAGAACCTACAGGTATTTAAGCTGGGCTGCAGCCTAGCAGGCAGGAAGCAGACAGGACAGAGGTGGCCACAAGGGCTGGACAGGCTGCACTGGGGGCTTTGCACACTAGGCCAGGACTTGACATCTGCAGAGAAAGGGAGGAGAGTCTCTTACAATTCGTGAATGGGAGGTGAGATCAGAGCCTGGTTTCAGAATGAATCATCTGGCGGCACAGTGGGGAAGGCATGAAGTGGTGAGAGCAAGACTGGAGGCTGGAGGTGGTAACCGAGGAAAGTGGTAAGGCAGGTCAGATCGAGGTCTGCGGCAGGGGACACGGAGAAGAGCACCTTAACTCCTCCTTGTCTACCTCCTGGGCAGTGACAGTGGCAAGTAACTTAACCACGCTGAGCAAGCATGGTTAAGGAAAGTTACAGAGAAATCAGGATTCCATCAGGGACTCCCAGGGTTTGGCGGCACTTGGAATTGTGGTCAACAAGACGACACAGTCAGCTATACAGCAAGCTCTCAAAGGGCAGGGAGAATTTTATTCCCACCAGTATTCCCTGCCAAGGGTCAGGCAGGCCTTTAATAACTATTGGTTCAACGGAAAGTCCTGGTCCATCCTAGGGCTGACAGACTGACCTCAAAAAGGAAGGTGGAGGGGACAGCCAGGTGACCTACATACAAAAACAAAAGACCTGACCGAATATTCGCTTCCCAAAAGGCAAAACAGATTCTGCCAGATAACAAGGCCAGCAATGTCTAACAGGCCAATTGTAACCCACACCCCAAAACCAGCTGTGGTAAAGATAAACCATAAGGTACTGGTCATCGTCTCACACATGCTGCACACAGAGCTCAGTTCAGAAGCTGCAGCTGTCTCTGTGCCTGGGGCTGGGAGGCAGGTGTCACAGCCTCTCTTACCCATCCCAAAAGGCTCTTAGGGCAGAATCCTGAGAGTGTGTCACCCTACAACACTTAGGAAAACTTCCCAAATCCATTTTTCCCATTACCAGTATTGCTTCCAGTGGCCCCTTCCTTAAAGGGGACAATAGTCACTGGGATGTCTAACTTCCACGGTAGGCCGGGCACGGTGGCTCACACTTGTAATCCCAGCACTTTGGGAGGCTGATGCAGGAGGATCACTTGAGGCCAGGGGTTTGAGGTCAGCCTGGACAACACAGCGAGACCCCATCTCTACAAAAAATAAACAATCAGCTGGGTATAGCACTGCATCCTTATGGTACCAGCCACTCAGGAGGCTGAAATAAGAGGACTTCTTGAGCCCAGGAGTTCAAGGCTGTAGTACACTCCAGGTTGGGTAACAAAGTGAGACCCTGTCCCCCCCACCAAAAAAAAGGAAGAAACTTCCAGGGTGCTAAAAAGCAGCCAGCATCTACTACTAAACAGTGACATCAAAATGCAATCTCTCTCAGACTTTTTATATCCATAGTTTAAAAAAAAAAAAGCAATCAGTCATAGGTAATAGGAAAGAATGCTCAATATATATTAAATGAAAAAGAACAGGCTATAAAAAATCTATAAAGAATGATGCACTTTTGTAAAATAAAAATGTGTATTTCATACACAAACTAATAACTGACAAAGATTATCTTGAGACATGAGATTATAATTTTTTTCTTTTTTTGAGATCGAGTCTTGCTCTGTCACCAGGCTGGAGTGCAGTGGCGTGATCTCAGCTCACTGCAATTTCTGCCTCCCCGGTTCAAGCAATTCTCCTACCTCAGCCTCCCGAGTAGCTGGGACTACAGTGTGTGCCACCATGCCCGGCTAATTTTTGTATTTTTAGAAGAGATGGGGTTTCACCATTTTGGCCAGGCTGGTCTTGAACTCCTGACCTCATGATCTGCCCACCTCACTCTCCCAAAGTGCAAGGATACAGGTGTAAGCCACCGTGCCCGGCCTTCCTTTTTATTTTTCTACTGCTTCTAAAAATTCTACATTCTTTTTTTAACGAATACGTATTTAATCTATTCCATAATTCTGTCCCAATACTATATGGATGGGATTAAAAAAGAGTTTCTGGTTATTTCCAGAAAATAATTCAGAAACACCCAGAAACTATACTTCCAATTTTACCAAATAAAAGTGCCCAGACACTGGCCAGGCACAGTGATGCATGCCTATGATCCCAGCACTTTGGAAGGCCGAGGCGGGTGGATCACTTGAAGTCAGGAGTTCAAGACCAGCCTGGCCAACATGGCAAAACCCCATCTCTACTAAAAATACAAATAAATTTGATTTGCTGGGCGTGGTGGCTCACGCCTCTAATCCCAGTTATTTGGGAGGCTGAGGCATAAGAATTGCTTGAACCCAGGAGACAGAGGTTGCAGTGAGCCAAGATCACACTACTGCACTCCAATCGGGGCAACAGAGTGAGACTCTGTCTCAAAAAAAAAAAAAAAAAAAAAAAAAAAAAAAAAAAGTGTCCAGACCCTGACAAGGCCACTGCCACTGTACCTGGTACCAGAAACCAAGGTTTGAGGTTACTCCTAGCAGCGACTGCCTAGGCCAGGGCAGAACAACTTGCTCTGACCACACATCTTAGAGTTCCAGGACAGGAGGGATCAGAGAAGAGAATCCGGCTCCTCCCAAGCCTTTCAGACTCATTTACATCAGATGTCTCTTTCTCCAGTAAGGCCTTTTCAGTTTCAAGTCTGGGTAGGTATACTGCCCCCAAGTGCTTCCCTTCAGGAGGCTCCCATCCATAGTTAACGACAGCGGCAAATGAATTTTTTTTTTCTTTTGTGTGTGTGTGTGTGTGTGTGTGTGAATGAAATCTTGAAAAACTGCCTGATTACTTGTCAGTGTCCCTTGCTGGACTGGATTCAAGAGGGCTTGGACTAAATCCACATTCCCAACATCAGGCACAGTGCCTGGAACAGAAGCAGCTGGTTCTTAGCATATGTGCCATCGTCCTTAGGGAGCTGGGGAGATTACCACCCTTGCAGATATGCTGCCAATTTTTAATATCACTGTAACTGAAGATGAAAGTTTTCTTTTGGAGATATCCATTATGGAACCCATGGCACCATTTCCTCCAACTATGTGAGTGGATGCTTAGATATCAATTCAGTGTGTATGTGTTGGGGGTGGGGGTATTCATTTAGATAACACCAAAAAGCAACCAAGTGACTGATAATATAGTAACTATGAGTCCAAATGATCCCTTCTTTAAGGGAGGCAGGATAAAGGCCAAGAACCATAGATTTTGAACATGTCATATTTTGGTTTGCTGTTGCACGTTTCTAACCATTAGAATGCAACAAAAAGCCGGGAGCGGTGGCTCAAGCCTGTAATCCCAGCACTTTGGGAGGCCGAGGCGGGTGGATCACGAGGTCAAGAGATCGAGACCATCCTGGTCAACACGGTGAAACACTGTCTCTACTAAAAATACAAAACATTAGTTGGGCATGGCGGTGCATGCCTGTAATCCCAGCTACTCAGGAGGTTGAGGCAGAATTGCCTGAACCCAGGAGACAGAGGTTGCGGTGAGCCGAGATCGTGCCATTGCACTCCAGCCTGGGTAACAAGAGTGAAACTCCGTCTCAAAAAAAAAAAAAAGAATGCAACAAAAACCAAATCAATAAACACACAGAAAAAAATCCCTCCAAGTGGTGCATTGAAAACAGGGAATCTTGCTGGGCATGGTGGCTCATGCCTGTAATCTCAATACTTTGAGAGGCTGAAGCAAGTGGATCATTTGAGCCCAGGAGTTCAAGACCAGCCTGGACAACACGGCAAGGCTCCCTTTCTAATTTAAAAAAAGAGAGAGAGAGAAAGGAAGAATGGAAGGAAGGAAGGTGGGGGAGTGAAGGAGGAAGGGAGGGAGGGAAAGATAGAAAACAGGGAATCTAACTGCCACCTAACAAATTAAACTGCTCACAGTCAAAAGAAAGCATAAGCAAGTCCCTCTGCCCAAATAACAGGTTGCATCATCCATGCTGCAACCACTTAGCTCAAGGCCATGGGCAAACAGCCTGAAGATAAGCCCCAGCTCACTGTCCTTCTTTAGGAAATGATAAAGGCCAGGCTGAAGAAAATCCCAAGGGAGGAAAAATTTCTGCGAAGGGACTTCAGAGCACAACCCATACCTTGAGACAGCCCTCACAAGGCGCAGCCTCAGTCCTGGGAGGGAAGTGCTGGACCAGCAGCAGCAGCGGGTTTCCCAGTGCCTTGGCTGTCACAGTGCTCCCCTCCTGCTCTGCCAGTGTCTTCCTGTACCATAGCCTCTGCTCTGACTGATTCCATCTGTCCATCTCCACCTTCCTTCCAGGACGGGCTCAAATGTCACCTCAGGATTTTCCAGCCAACATCAACTGCTCTCTCATCTGACCTCAGTCTGCAGACTCTCACACTCATTTGACCTGAACCTATGATCACAGGTTGTTCTTCTCCATTTTTCTCTTTTCCTCTCTCTCTGAGAGTCAAGACCCTATCTCTTCTCTCATTTACCTTACTGATCTCTGCTGAGCTGACCTGGCTCATGGCTGAATAAGGGCACTGAGTCTTGGCACCGAGGTTGGTTCCCTATCCCACAGTGGATCTAGCCTAAGCTGGAACTTCCTTTGGAGTCTTCCGGTGGTTTGACCTGGCCCAACCCTTCCCTCCTGTTGTGTCATTACTCCTCTCAGCACTAAGAGTGTGGAGCCAGCCTTCCTGCCAGCAGCTGGTAGCAGCTTCTCCCTCAGGTCAGGGGCCCTTAAGAATTCAAACCCGAAGCAGCCACACTCACCAACATCCAGACATCCTGTACCCACAGCCAATGCCAAAGAAAAACTCTGACCAGTACTTTCTCACTTACCCCTGTCATGGTCCTAGACTGAAGGCAAGAAAATAACCAACTTCCTAGGCTAAAGAAACCTCTACACGGGATGAGGGCTGAGAATTGGTTCTGGAAAAGCAGGCATTTAATGTTAAGAACTTGATCTATTTGTTCATCTGGGGAGCCCAAGGAGCACCCATGCTTCATTTATACATTTAATTACCGTACCAGCAGCACAAAGTACTGAAGATAGGGCTGTGACCTCAACAAACTCCTCTCACATAGATTACAGCCTGGTAGAAAAGAGAGACCAGCAGGCAGACACCCATGGGGTACCACAAAAGCCCCAAGTCATACCTGAAATAATACATAAAGAATAAGAAGGATAGCCGGGCGCGGTGGCTCAAGCCTGTAATCCCAGCACTTTGGGAGGCCGAGGCGGGTGGATCACGAGGTCGAGAGATCGAGACCATCCTGGTCAACATGGTGAAACCCCGTCTCTACTAAAAATACAAAAAAATTAGCTGGGCATGGTGGCGCGTGCCTGTAATCCCAGCTACTCAGGAGGCTGAGGCAGGAGAATTGCCTGAACCCAGGAGGCGGAGGTTGCGGTGAGCCGAGGTCGCGCCATTGCACTCCAGCCTGGGTAACAAGAGCGAAACTCTGTCTCAAAAAAAAAAAAAAAAAAAAAAAAAAAAGAATAAGAAGGATTATTTCAACCAAAGGAGAGTGCCTCAGACATAAGGAACATATTGAAGGAACATGTAAGTCCAGAAGGAACTTGTTCCGATCTAAGAACCAAAAAAGATTCGGTATAGTCGAAAACCCAGCAGAGTCGAGTCAAATGAATCTAAAGTTAAAAGAAGACAGGTCATGAAGGGCTTTGCAAGCCCTGTTCAAGAGGTTGGAAGAGTAATGAGAATCCACATAAGGGCGGCAAGGGAACAGGGGGACAATTCTAGTGACATGATCAGATTTCTGTTTTAAAACCATGGGTCTAGCCCCTCTGAATAGAACAAACTACAGAGGATCAAGAAGAGATGCAGGCATCATCAGGAAGATACTGGGGTGGTCCAGAGGAGAAAAGGTGGCCTGAACTGGGTAAGGCAGAGGCATGGGAGTGGAGAATGAACGTATCCAAGACAGCTCTGCAAGGGATTAGATGTGGGTGGGTAAAGGAGTGCAGCAGGTGAGAATGACGCCCAGGTTTCTGGCTTGGGCACCTGGGTGGATGGCAGTGTCATGCCCAGAAAGGAAACACAACAGGAGATCAGCTTCCCGCGCTGGGCCCGACAGGACCTGTGGTTTCCCCCAGAGGAAGATGGAGGAACCAGCAACAGACAGAGTAACGCCTCCGGCCCGCTGCTTTTGGGCCGGGGCAGGAGCAGCATTCACCCGGAACAGCTGGTCCCACAGGCCGATCCTAGTCTCCAGGGACCAGAGAAGGGGGCGGAGATCTGCCCAGCCGGCCCCGTCCAGCTCCAGAGCTCGCGGTGGGACACAGGCTCCGGCCCGGGGAGACAGGCCGTGCTCCTAGCTGGGTAAGCGTCCCAGGACAGCCTGGAGACCCAGCCCCAGCCCCCAGTCTGCTCCTGCCTCTCATCTTGAGCCCAAGCCTCCAACCCACAAGAGAGGAGCCGGGATTCCACCCACTGCGGACGACGCGCTGGTTCACTCACCTTATGGTCTCCGCCGCACTCGCGAAGTCCTCCGGAGCGTGAGCCTCGCCAGCCCCCGTCCCCAGAACACTCTTTCTCGGCTTCGCTCCGCCCCGCCTCCCCTCCCATCCGGCCTGCTCTGCGCACGCGCACTCCGTGCCGCTCGCCCATTGGCGACGCGGGGGCCCTCCCGCGCCCCGCGGCTGGCTGCGAGGACGGCTAGCGTAAGTCCACGTGTAATGGGCCGGCGCCCAGCGTTGGCGGGACTGACGGAGTCATTTTACCTGCTTTCTCGATGGCGACACTCGGTTCCACTCCAGTTGGGCCGCTGGACGCTCTAGGGGCCCGGCAGGTTGCTAGGCAACCCCGGAAGCCCTCAGGAATGTAATTCCGCGTGGGACTTAGGATGGCGGATGGGGCGGACTCCGAATCCCGCTCCCAGCTCTGCTCCACCTCTCCTATACTGGGCTCTTGGTTCAGGTTTCTTGGTTCCTCCTGCTGCAAGTTGGGAAGAAAGAGAATAGGAATGCTAATTCCTTTACTGATGAAACGACTAGAAGACGCTGGAGCCGGCCTTGGACCGTACGTTCAAGATTGGCCTGCTTCCAGCTTCTGCACAAGCCGCGGCAGCCGCTGTACTCTTTCGCTTCCACAGGAGTCCCAGCAAGACTATGCGACCCAGTTCAAATACCATCTTCCCTGTACCGTTCGTGAGATCAGCAGCTTTTGTCATTCAAGAGAGGACAAATCCCTTAAAAACAGACCCATGAACAAATAAGGAAACGGAATACATCATCCCTGTATAAGCCTGCCCATACACCTGTGCTCCTATACAAGATTAACATTCAGTGAGTATCTACTGATCTGATGGATAAATGAATGTAGGACCGTCGTCTTTTAAAGCCCTTCTCCCATTTTTGTTCATAAAAGTACATAATCGGTTTTCAAATGAGCCTGGGTCCGGACAGGAAAGACAGAGTGGCTAAGTTAGATGCCTTGAAAGTTGGCCAACGCCACTGACATTCACTGTCTCGTTCGTTTTCCCAACTTCATCTGAGATTGATATCTGTCAACCCTATCCCAGAGAAAAATCCCATAATCCCTAAATTCGGTTTTTGTTTTTACTTTTTTTTTTTTTTTTAAATGAGCCTCGATGTTGCCCAGCTCGTCTCGAACTCCTGGCCTGAAGCAATCCTCCCACCACCTCCACCTTCCAAAGTGCTGGGATTACAGGCGTGAGCCACTGCGCAGGGTCAAAGAATCCCTGAGTTTTGAGGAAACCCTATTAATGCAAGACCTCTTCGTCTTTCTTTACTCTGAATTTTGGGTTAGATTTATCTAGTTCCTTCTTCTACCCTGCACCTGCCATTCATCCATCTCTTCATCCATTCACCCATCCCCCCATTTGTTCATTTATTCGTTAATTCAGTAACATTTCTTGAATATCTTTTATGTACTGAGCACCATACCAGGAGCTACTAGAGATACAAATCAGACAAATGAAGTGTCAAGAAGCGAGTGTCTGGTAGATGGATGAAGTGTCCTCCTAGCCAGTGCTTTCATTTTTTTTTTCCTGTGGATGCTATCCTTTGTTAATGTCTCTCTTGAATCGACAATCACTCCCTCTGTACCGGATAATTCCCATCAGCATATAAACTTGCTCTTGTTTCTCCCTCAGCATGCTACTGAAACTGCAATCTGCATGCAAATCCAGTGGTCTCTCTGATCTCTTGTTTTATTTTACTTGCCCTCTCAACACTGTTTTGTTTTTTGTTTTTTGCTTTTTTTTAATTTTTTGAGACGGAGTTTCGTTCTCGTTTCCCAGGCTGGAGTGCAATGGTACGATAAAACACTGTTTTATCAAAGCCAGCCACTCTCACTTTGAAACAGTTTCTTCTCTTGTTTTCTGACACCATGCACTTTGGTTCCTCCTGCTACCTCACTGGTTATCCTTTCTTGGGCTTCTTAATTGGCTTCTCAACCTATGAATATCAAAGTGTCCAGGGTTCTATCCTGAGTCACCTTCTCTATCTACCCACTCTCCCTGTGGGAATTTACCTGGTCCTGTGCTTTAGATACCAGTTATAAGTAGATAACTCCAAAATATGTCTCTCTGACAGTGACCTCTCTGTAATTCCTAACTCCTGTAAATCACTGCCTACTTGACGTCTCTGTATGAATGTCAAACTGGCATCGCAAACTTAATGTGTCTCCCCAAAATCTTGATTTTTACCCCCCAACCTGCACTTCTCTCAGTCTTGTTCATTTTAGTAAATGTCACTGCCACTCATTCTGTTGTTCAGGCTAAAATTCTATGAGCTATTCTTGAGTTCTCTCATTCCTTTACCTTAAATTCTTCAGCAAAGCCTGTTGATACTATCAAAATATATCCTCAGTCTTTGATGAATTACTTCCACCTCTACTACTTAACCATTCTAGTCCAGTAGCTGATGATGCTACTGGATTACTTGAGAGAGAGCTTCCTAACTGACCTTCCTGCTTCCATTCTTGCCCCACTGTAGTGGGTGAGTGAGAAGCCACCTTTGATTAAGCCGTTTTATAGGTGAGTATTCTGTAACTCGTAGCTTAACCCATTCCTAACAGGCAAATAATTTGGTACCAGAAGCAGAATGCTAAAAACAGATACTAAAATGTGGAATTGGCTAACTAGAGGTTAAGGTAGCCAGTGTTAAAGACTATTTCAAACTGGAAAGTTGGTGACCCTTATAAGCAGCAGTGAAACTATCACTTGCTGGACCTTGGATACAGGCCATAAGCCAACCAAAGCTGTAGTTTTGGAGAAATCTCAGGAGCAATATGGAGCATTAGTGAGTGTTGCCTTTTTTTAGTAGCATTTAGCAAACTCCTTCAAGAGAGGGGCAACTCTAGATTAGAAATAACTGATTTGAAAGCAGAAATTAAAGTAAGGACTTGGTAAGAGGATCTCTTTACCCGCAATCTGCTATTTAAATTGGCCAAAAATCTCATAACTTGGAACCTTGCTGAAATACCCCATTTATTTTGTGTACTCAGGCTGAAAGAGACAAAGAGGCAGCTTTATCAAGAGATAGGACGGCCATCCCAAGATACCAGAATGGCCTGTAGGTGGCGTCTCTTTTCTCAGCTGTTTTGAATTGTCTCAAAACAGTGTTTTGCCTATGTAGGGGATTCCAGAGTGGATGAGAATAGGGGTGAAAATAAGATTTCAGTTTACACCTTTTAATATTGCTTTCATTTTGTAAACTATATATTACTTATTTGGAAAAATAAATTGAAAAATATTTAATAAAAACAATTTAAAGACTCTAGATAGGCCAGGCGCAGTGGCTCATGCCTGTAATCCCAGCACTTTGGGAGGCTGAGGCAGGCGGATCACCTGAGGTCAGGAGTTTGACACCAGTCTGACCCACATGGTGAAACCCTGTCTCTACTAAAAATACAAAATTAGCTTGGCCGTGGTGATGCATGCCTGTAATCCCAGATATGTGGGAGACTGAAGTAGAAGATATGCTTGAACTTGGGAGGCAGAGGTTGCAGTGAGCGGAGATCACACCATTGCACTCCAGCCTGGGTGACAAGAGCTAAATTCTGTCTCTAAATAAATAAGACTCTAGATAAGTTACTTGTGATTACTATACATTAAACTCATCAGAATTCTTTTTTTTTTTTTTTTTTTTTTTTTTTTTTTTTTTTTTTGCCAAATCCTAACCACTAGACCACCAGGGATCATCTAGAATTCTTAGCAAATGATTGAGGGAATCCTGTGTCCCTAAAATCTTAAGCCTGGTCAACAACAGTCTGTTGCTGTTCAGCCCTGTGGTAATCTCTGAACCCCGGAATTCCTTCCAACAGGGAGTAGGATGCAAAAGGTATGCGTTCTGCACAACCAGAGGAAAGATCAATGGTGCAGCTCCCAGATTCTCCAACTGAGAACTTTGTACACTGCCACCACGAAAATGCTGCAGTTTCTTTGTTTAGGGAAAGGATCTTGCTCTGTCACTGTTGCATTACATGAGGGCAACCTCAGTGGGTTGCGTGTTCTAGCCTCCCATGTCAGCTGGGATGGGCTTTGTATTTGTCTCTCCCTTATTCATATTTTTGATAAGGGTGAACTGGTGTTGAAAGCTTGGAATTATGCCATGTGTTGGGGTGTTCTGAATTCAGATATACTATAAACTGGAATGGGAAAAATGATGGCCATCTGCATTTAATGACCTTGCTTCTTCCGTCTCTGACTTTATCAAAACACACACCACTCTTAATGAAAAGTCTGACTGTTGATTTCTTCAAATTTGACATACATATACCTTACCCTAACAAGTCACATACATTAGCATTCCTTAATATCCGTTTTGTCTCCCTCTCCTCTCCCATCATGTTGTTCTTGTTTGGGGTTTTTGACATTAGTTATTCTAGATGAACATTCTCTTCTTCAGTCTTAGCCTTTTTTTTTTTTCTTTTTTTGAGACGGAGTCTCAGTCTGTCACCCAGGCTGGAGTGCAGTGGCATGATCTCAGCTCACTGCAACCTCTGCCTCCCAGGTTCAAGCAATTCTCCTGCCTCAGCCTCCCAAGTAACTGGGATTATAGGTGACCACTACCATGCCTAGCTAATTTTTTGTATTTTTATTAGAGATGGGGTTTTCACCATGTTGGCCAGATTGGTCTTTCTTTCCTTCAGTACGTAAAGAAATCAGCCTGCCTCGGCCTCCCAAAATGCTGGCATTACAGGCATTAGCCACCATGCCTAGCCTTAGTCTTAGCCTTTTTTTAAAATAAAGAGATAAATTTATCAAAAATTTTGATCACCCTGACATCCCCTATCTCTTAAAGTTTTTCCTAAACTTGCCTATCTACTTGAACACTTCCTTCAAAGGCATTTTCATTGTGAATTTTGTGTGGCAGGCTTCTGAGGTCTCCCCTGCCTGAGAATATTTTTATTACTCTTACATTAAATTGAAAATGTGGCCGTCTACAAAACTTGAGCGTTCTTTTCCTTCAGTACGTAAAGAAATAATATATGATCATAAGAAAAACTATATGTTCATTTAAAAAAGGCATTTGATAAAATTTA